ATATATATATATATATATATATATATATATATATATATATATATATATATATATAATAGGATTTACCATGTGTATTGCGTGCTACCCGTACGTGAACTATAAATTGTTTTACCACATTATTAAATCTTTTTAACACCAAATTAATTAAATTAACGAGTTAATTAAATATTTTAACATCTAATTAACTTATTTAACACCTACTAAATTTATTTTACACATAAATAAATTACACTAACACCTAATTAATTTTTTTTCACAATTAATTAATTTAATTAATGCCTAAACAACATAATTAATACCTAATAAAATTATTTTACACCTAAATAAATTAACTTAACACCTAATTAATTTTTTTAACAATTAAATAATTTAATTTGCACCTAATTAACTTATTTTAACACCTAATAAAACTAGTTTACACATAAATAAATTAACTTAACACCTAATTAAATTCTTTAACATTTAATTAATGTAATTAAAACCTATTAAAAAAATTTTACACCTAAATAAATTAACTTAACACCTAATTAAACCATAGCCGATGAATGATCGTTATTTCTCTATCTTCTTATACCGGTTTAACAAGTCAATTATATCGATGTCATAACCCATTTTTTACCTCTCTCACATAAACTATCATTTTGCGTGATTTCCTAATCTCTCGTATAATTATTTTGGTATTCTTACAAATTTTCTAAGTGTATTGCCTCATGTGGATCTTCTCCGAATTTGAAAATTACATTTAGACTAACATTGTTTAATTTCTCATTTATTATTTTTGGTATTATTGAACAAGAAAAAATAAAGATGAAAAAGAAAAAAGAAATGAAAAATGAGAAAAAGAGAATGAAAAAATCGAGTTAATAAAACTTAAAAATAATTTGAAAACATTGCGAGTTAATCCGAAAATAACAAAAATTTAGGAGAAGTAATTAGAAACAATTGGGGATCTAATCGGTAAAAATTGAGAAAGAAGGACCGAAGCTTCATGATTTGAGGGACTTGATTGACAAAAATCAAAACATGCGAGGATTCACTTGAAAAAGGCCGTGATATTAAGAATTCATTTAAACGCAAAGGATCGAATGACATGCCGTTTGATCCGACTCAACAAAAATCAGCCCTCTTCAGGTTACTATTCATCATCTTTTTTGTTAGAAGATAGATATTTTGAGGCCAAAAACAACCTGGTTGGCATGCATACCGATCAAGAATCAAACGGCACTCAAACTCGACATCCACTCTCTGTCCCTATCCATAAAAAACCTCCACATGGTTATCCTTCCCCTAGTTTTTTAGCTAGCAAAGTGGTCGCTCCGAAAAGAATCTCCCAACGAACAGTCATACTTTGGATAGTAGTTATCTTTCCAAAATCATAACCAAATCCTTAATCTAGTGTCATTTTTAATTTTTTTAGTTATTTTTAATACTAGGTAGGGATACCAAAACCTTGTTCTTAATTCTTTTTCCTTTTTCATAAATTTTTTAGAAGTCTCCTAAATGTCGGGTAACGACAATGGTCTCATACTCTGCAAGTTCTAACCTCTTCCTTAAAATTATCTTATGGTCATGAGTTCTTTTAGGAGGCAAACACTAAAGTTCCTCTAAAATATCCTCAAACTTCTTTAATACTATCCTTCAATCACTAGGAATTTGTTCTTGCAATTCCGCCATATAGTTTTTCACATCCAATTCTTCAAAATCAACTATTTTAATTGCAACCAATTTAATTATTGCTGCCTACGGATGAATTTCCTTTTCTTCTATACTCTTAGTTAAAACTCACACACTTTCTCTATAATTCTAATTATTTTCCTTAAAAAGTTTTATCAACATATTTTTAAAGTTCCAAGTTATCCCAAAGTATATAGCTATGCTATTCTCAAAATCATCTCATACAATCCTAATTGAATAACATACACTATAGTATCAAACACCCTCCCTTGTATTTTCCATTTAAAATTTCGACACATGTACTCACAAAGAATCTCTCCCACATCCGCCACTTTAATGACCACATGTTTAATTCTAATTAACTCACAATCACTCTTTCTTGCAAATTCTAAATCCACAAAGTTATGAGTACTTCTAGTGTCAATCAAAATTTTCATTTTTTCCCCTTTAAATCCTCCTATAACCTTCATGGTTTGATATTATTCCCCCTTCCTCCCAAATACCGCATACATAGAGATTTGGTACAACTCTCCCTCTAAATTCTCCATACCCTCAAGATATTCTCCATTACCTTCTTCCCCATTTGTTTCCCCCTCTTACTCACTTACCCTACTCTCCTTTCTAACAACATAAACAATTGTTTACCCTTACATTTATGCCCAAGTATAGGATCTTGCATCACAATAGTAATGTCGCCCTTTTAACCTCCTCTCATCTAACTCCTTATTACTTGGTAATCTCCTAGTTTTGAACACAATTTTTTTCATTCCGGAATTGAGTAGGTAGTGCTAATTAACCTTTTTGGGCGAGTTAAAATTCGGTTGAAGTTCATTAGTAACCATTAGTTAGGAAAATTTGATGTATTTGGTTTTTAGTTATTCATGGAAAAATTAGGGATAGGTCTTTGAGTGAACACTAAGGAGTTTTGTGATTGATTCTACTAGGGTAATGTTGTACATTAGAGTTTGTTTCTTGAAGTTTAGCTACGGAATGGCTTCTTTCAAAGTTTTTGGTCTTATGATCCTAACCGAAACTTGTATATAATTCAACTTTGATACTACCCATAAACAACTGACAATATAATCCTTAAGTAATGTCGGCTTATTGACCACAAAAATAAATTTTATAAGGAAAGATTACACATCATCGGTTTGCTTAAGGGCCATTAATTACGCCATGGGATCGCTAAACACCATAGCTTCAAAATGAATACTCATGGCATCAAGCCCAATTCAACACTATTCAACACTCGCATTAATCTCATGCATTATTACATATACCCGATGTCATTCTAAAACTTCTCCCTCTAAATGTATTGCGGCTAAATTCACCTTAGCTTCTTCAAGTGTTCTATCTATAGAAAAGAACTTATCACACCTAAAAACCCGAGCCGTGAAATCTTCCCTAGTAAACTTACAAAATTCTACCCTAGACATCCTTGTATTATATTGATACCCCGGATTATTTCCTCCATATTCATTATACAAAAATTCAGCATTATAGTTTCTAATTGGATACCCATACTCTCAGACGCTTAAAATTTTCCCCTATTCATATTTCCAATCGCATCAACATTAACTCCATCACCGTGACCAATACCTACTCCTCTACCACGGGACTCCTAACCCCATTCACAAGTCCTTTCAATTCAACAATTTCATTATTGTGTTGTGCAAATACATTATCACATTTATCGGTAAGCTCAAATATTACCTTAGTCAAGTTCGCAATTGATTCCTCCATCTTCTTTAGATCGAGTATTTCCTTTCGCCATTTTTGTTGGTTTACTTCACTTTCACGAGTGCAAAGACTTATGCTCCGGTACCTATCGATACGGTTCAAATTCTAATCACGGACATTAAGGATAAAAATATAGTTTATTCAAAAAATAAAAACAAAAACAACACAATCGAATTGAAAAGCCGATGGATTATACAACTTCACTCGAACAATCGAAATGTGGAGACGATTCTTTGCAAAGCATTAAGTATTGCAAGAACGTTAAGAACCCTAGATTAATTCGTTGAGTTTCAAATCTTCTCACGTGTCAATCCATAACATGAGTTACTTAATTCCGTTGAATTGCTGAGTTTTGACCCTTCCAATCTTCATTACGATCCTTCATTTTTAATAATTCTATATTAGAAGCTTGCAATTTTCCGACTTTCATGAATGTCGTCCCTCATATTATCTACTGCATCAAACTATTTTGAAGTATTGTAAAATTACAAAAACTATTCAATATTTTGAAAATTAACATAAACTATGTTCATGTTTACAAAAATTACAAAAACCTCCTTTTGCATCCAAAATACCATCAATTACTATTAAAAAAAGATATTTAAATTAAGAATTTTTTTGTATCTATATATATATATATATATACAATATTAATTTCATTATTTAATTTCTGTCAATTTTGGTTTAATTTTATCTTTTAATATTCTTTCTCTAATTTTTAAAAATTATATATATATATATATAGCAATTAAGAACATTTTGATATAATATAAGGTTTTTGTCAAATCTTCAATTTTTTGCATGATTATTGTAGTTTTATGATATCTTCTAGAGTTATTATAATTTTTCAAATAAATATTAAATATTAATACAATAATAAGAGAATGAAAATTTATTAATAAATATTTATAATAATCGGGCAAGATTTAGCAGATAATTAAAATTTCCAATATGATTATCAAGCATTAAAATGCAAATAGTAGAAGAATGGGAAAATTAGAGAATATATTTGCTTATTGTCAAAAACACGAGATACATATATACATATATCATAAATTATAGTATATAAAGCTAGTATAAGTTAAACATGCATATCAACAGTGATAAATACCATAAGGCCTTGCATAACTTTTTTTTTTTTTTTAATCCCTAAAGCATTCTATGCTAAAAAACCACGACTAATCCCTCGTTATTCGATCGAACGTACAAGACAAACACACATCCAATGAGTTTTCTACATACAAAAACCACTAGAGCAGACTCTTGGGTTGCATAACTTTGATCATAAAGGCTATAAAACGTTTTGACTCATTAAAACAAAATAAAGCCTATTCACATGGTAATAAAAGCTTATATATATATATATTGTACACACAATTCCTTGAGAAATAACGACTTTTGTAATTTGTAAATCATGCCATGATAATACATTCCCTTCATTAATAAAAAAAGGAAAAGAATTCTGTAGCCAAAAATTACAACCATGCATACTACCTATCTACAATAATGCAGTGGAAATTATTACAGGAAGATGATTGCATGTAATAACCAAAAAAGAGGAAATATTTGTACAAGTAATCAAAACATCAATAGACTTCCACATTCCATTGTCCTGCTTTCTTCAAACTTCTTTTGTACTCAGTCCAATCAATGCCTGCAAAATAGAGCAAAGCACAAGATTGGAATTGAGAACATGATTCATAGAAATTATCAGTATAGTCTTAGGCAAAGTGATCTGTTATTTCTTACCTTCTTTAGCAGCCAATGACACCATTATGTCATCAATTCCCTTCTCCATTCCCTTTAACCCACACATGTAGACAAAGGTGTTGTCTTTCTTTAGTAATTCCCATAGCTCTTCTGCATATTCTGCCATCCGGGTTTGGATGTACATCTTTTCACCTTTGTCGTTGGTTTGCTCTCTACTTACTGCAAAGTCTAACCTGAAGTTGTCAGGGGCTTTCTCCTTCATTTTCTCGAATTCCTGTCCACAGAATAGAGGGCAATGTCACTAACATTTCAATGTTTCTTTCCGTAAGGTCAAGGAGTAAAGTATGATTAGTTCGTTGGCCTCACCTCCTTGTAAAGCAATGAGCTACTTGTTGGGACTCCCAAGAAGAGCCATGCCAAACCATTGAACTACAAATCATTGCAACAACTGAGTTAATCATATGATAATTATCAGTTAATTAACGAAATCCTCGCATTCTCAGAGAAAAAAATGGTGACTTTTGTTTTACCTTGTAGTCATCATGCTTCTCAAAGAACATTTTCCACAAGAATGCTCGGAAAGGAGCAATACCAGTTCCAGTTGCAAGCTGTAGATTCATACCAAAATGCATAAGAATCTTAAATTGAGGAATAGTTCAAATGACTAATATTCAACTTGGTTACTATAGAAAAAGTGGATGATACCATTACGACAGTGGCATTCGGATCTATCGGCATAAGCATTTCTTTCCCAACTGGTCCTGTAATCTTAACTTCAGCTCCAGGTTTCAAGTCACCTGAAATGTAATTCATTTCATTGCTGAGATGTTAGCTGAGGCATCTTGATTCATTGTTGTTACTTTATCACAATCCTTCTTCTCGTTATACACGCCAATGGCAATAATCTTGAACACAAGCTACTTCCTTTTAAACTTAAGCACAAATTAAGAAAATGCTTTTTTAAAAAATAGAGAGCCTTGATTCAGCCTTACACAAGAAATTTGAGCAAACTCCTTTTACGATTTCTCCTTGATCATTGGTGTACACAAGCCTCTTCACACACAAAGAAACCTGAACAACAATGAATCATCCCCACCAAAATGAGTTGAACTTAAACCTGACATTACTAACGAAAAGGATAACGAGTGGAACATTCTGACAATTAATCGGACTTGCTAAATTGGCATACGTTAAACATAAAGTATCAAATTTACATGAATTCAACATCTTTTCGAGAATAAGTTAGAAACTAACGTGTGGCAAGAAAAATATGAACCGAAAATTGGATGAAAAACTTACAGTTTTGGAGTCTCCAAAGTCACCAAGAGCACTGCTAGCAATTGAATATAATCTTAGTTTATGAGGCTTCCCATTCTTATCAACCCCATCTGCAATTACTCCAATTGATTGCCCTTCTCTATAGGGTACCTCTCCTAAACCACCCCAAGTAACCAATCAGCCCAACAAGATCATTTCATATAAACTAATGATGCAGCTCAAAAAAATGAGGAGATTATTTTGTTAGACTCTCATTACTTCATATAAATATTCAGCTATCTGATTCTTCAGGCTCCAGTTACATTTGCCATATCAATCAACCAATTCAACTTTAAATGATTTGCAGATAATTGGAGGCCATACATACCTTCAGTGCTGAAGACCATGTGCCAAGTTTCACCAGGAGCATCATCACCAGTGATCTTAGTGTTCAAAAGACATCTTCCAATGTAAGGGTCTTTAGGCTTGAACTTGTTAACAATCACTCCCTCCTCATCTTTCTTTGATACCTTCTCAACCTTAGCTGGAGCCTCAGTTGTAACCTGAGCTCTGATGGAAATCACTCTTCCACTAGCAGACGCATCTCTGTTGTAAACCGGCACCTGAAGATAGCCAAAAAAAAAAAAAAAAGTTGAAACTCCTCCTCAGATGAGCTCTAAATGAAACAAAAATAGAGCTATATCAAACTAGTCAGTACCTTTTTTAAGGTGATTCTTTCTGGTGCAATGAGGGTGGTTCTTGAAGTAAAAGAAGAGGACTTGGTAGAAGAAGGAAAAGAGACTGCAGCAGTTACTGCAGCTGCCATGGCTGTGATGATGATGGTGGTGGTAAAGAGAGAGAGAAAAAGAGAAGGAAGTTTTATTAGTGAAAGAAGTGAGAAACAGAAGAGTGCAAGTCTTATGATCTTTTTTGTTGGGAATGGATTATGGGATCTGAATGGATGAGATTTCGAAGCAAATGCAGTGGTTGATGTGAGGATAAGTCTTTTGCGTAATGTATGACTCTCATTCCCTCCGAGGATCCTTTGTAGTTAACCTGCCGCTATCTTGTGCTGATTTTCTATTCACAACACCAACGGAATATGTTAGTGTGTCCATGGAGGGTCCAAGGTGTACAAGCCATAAGGCCTCCCAAGAAAGTGAAAATGGATTCTGTTGCTAATGGCTAACAGCAACTTTTGGAATATATAGTTCAAACATTAGCCCATAAAAGGGTTCAATATATGAAGGCCTGAAGTGGCATGAAAAAAGAGAAATTTACTGACCATGGACATGGGGTGCAATGGTCCTTGATGGCTAACACCCGCTTGGTTTAGTGGTCCTATTACGGACTGGGTTTGATTATGGGGAGGAGATAGTACAAGTTTGGGCCTCAATAACATGGGTATTATAGAGATCTTCTTAAATATATGTGCATGTTATAGACATAACGCGTCCTCTTAAAACCTTTTGAGATAGAAGTGCTGTTTTTTTTTTTCTTTTTTTTTTAAATCCATGTAGTATCATAAGTTCAAAAGTACATACTAATCTCTCTCTCTTGTTATTCGATTAGACGTACAAAATAAATATAGCTATTTAAAAAAGTTTTATGCGTATATAAAGACTCGAAACCAAGACGATAAATAGAGTTATTTTTGTTTAAATCAATCTTCTTGATAGTATTACTTCTCATTTTATAGATAATTCCTTGGTGAAATTTGAAATCTTGAATGCTGTATCCTCTAGTTTACTTCTCTCATTGTGACACAAAAACTAACTTTAAACAAATAATTCCCTCCAATGGCACAAAGGAAAAATGAGAAATAAGAACAAATGCTTGTATCTGGCATATATATATATAAAACTAGCTTCTATATGGGCTTCAAAGTAAGTTAAAAAATTTAATTAAAAAAAAAAAAAAACTTACAAGATGGTAGCCTACTAATAAACAAGCATCTATTTGTAAGTTAGATTCAAAATTCGATCTTTGTAGCAAACACTCTTAAGAATTTATTTTTAAAATATCCGAAGTCATACATTAAGAAGTGCTCCTTAACCACATATAGAGAAAGATTAATCTCGAAATACACAAAAACCGGTTTGAAGACCCTTTTACTACTAAACCTAGAAAAAATGGTTAAAAAAAAAAAAGAATAAAAAAAATTGGTTTGGGACAGTAAGAGAGGTACGTTGACCTTAAACTATAGAATAGGATTCCTCGTAGTTTCTTGCTTAGTAAAGATCTCCATCTCCTTTATTTAAATTAGAATCTTAAGCTCTAACTACAAATGTCAGTTTGTCACATGTATATGGTTAGAGGAGGATTTGTATTTCTCTAGAAGTTTTATCTGCAATTAATTTCTTCCTAATTGTGCACAGATTGAACGAGTGTTGATGTGGATGGGTAGTAGACCTAGTGGTAAAAATGCTAATTATACCTATATATGATGACTTGCATACTAAGTCATTCATTTTTTTTAAAAAAACTTTTTTATGTGAAGAAAGTTCACACTGCAATCACATCCTTCTCTCAAGAAATGTCAATATTCCAACTTCAACATATAATTACCGGTCAGAAAGTTTCTATTTTAAAGGATAACCGTATTTTTTTTCTTTTTGTGGGAACCGGTTAATTATCAGCTTAATTGTCTAAAAAATTACTTTTGTCAATTTATTGTTCGATAGAATTGGGATTTATTATTATTATTATTATTATTGTTTATAGTTTGAATGGAATTGAGGAGTTAAGATTAAGCTGCCTGACAATTTTATATCTCCAATAAGATAAAATTAATTTTGTTTGCAAATGTTACATAGTTTCTCTGAAAACAACCGGAATTAAAATGATATCGAAAAAAAAAATAATTCATTTTTTACACATATTTAAAAAATTATTAATTATTATATCATATCAATATATTTTGTTTGTTTTAAAATATCTTTTTTCTTTTAGAATTATATTTAAACAATCTCTTACAAAAATATTTTAATTAGGCCCATTTTTAAAAAATACACTATTAAAAATTTTGACTAGAGCAAATACATAATTTAATTTATCATTTTTTTTTTTTTTGGTTTTGTTTTGTCCCCTGTTCCATCAGTCATCAAATCGAAAATATGAAGATGAACTGGCTTAAGATTAACGGTTTTGTCTTACCAAATCAATTGGTAAAATAAGTTTGACTCTATCTACATTTAAGGACACATCTTTTGGTAAGGTCCTTGGTATGCACAAATTGATTAAAAATACGAGAATTGATCATTTGATCTGGTCCACACATAAGTTAATTTCATTGTAGAAATTTCCCTCTCAAGTAGTTATTATTAAGTATTTATACGCTTTTGTTTCACGAATATGGAAAATTGGGAATGTTTGTTGTGTCTTCTTCTTCTACCTTTTTTTTTTTTTTTTTTTTGGGATATGCTAGTTAGACCTATGATTATATAATATGATACAAAAACTTGAATTTTATGGCTAATAACAAATTCATAATTATTGTGGGTGCATAATTGGTTGGCTAACAGACAATGATACCTAAGTATGGCAGGTTTTAAGCACTTCAAAACAAATGAATTTTGGAGTTATGTTTTACGTAGCTCTCTTAGGTACAAGGATGATCAAAATGCAACCTTTTCCTGTTAGGCACTAGCGGGGCTTGAAGCCATCAATATCACATGGCTTTCATACCCAATTTTTGGTAACCTAAACTACAGGCAGAAGCACAGAATACCCGAAAGCATTGTGGCCCATGAAAAAGGTTGTTTTTATATCACGGCAGTGTTTGATTGATTGTAAGGTATACTAAGATTAAAATGATAAAACAAAGGAGTTCATTGTAAGATCAGTATTTTATGCAATATTTAGACCAAAACATGCCAAATGAATATATTTAGCTCTTCTAAAGCTTGCAAAAACATGTGTTCGGTGAGATTGATTGATGGTGCAATTTAATAACATTGACTTTGTGTTTGTGTAAATTCATGTGGCAGTGGACACCCAATTCTAGGATGGTCCAGTACAAGGTTGCTGCAATACAAGAGTGTATGGAATAAACACCCTGTAAAGAAATAGAAATTCAGTTGAGGATCACATGACAAAAGCAAATACATGTGTGTGATTTATATAGATAGATAGCATTTCGTTTGAAATTGTCCAAGCCATGAGGTTGAATAATTCTTCTATGTTGGATAAAAATCACATCCGAAATCTCAGGTCAATAAAACCATACCTCGCCTGCAGCAACTTCCCGTTCTGACCAATTCTCTGTCTTTGTAAAGTCATTTTCCCACCACCTATGCAGATCCGAACCTTTCTAGACATGTTTTCCCCCACCTTGTGTCTTTTCTGGCAGCTGCTTACCAGTCATTCCATCAATCATCCATTTTTCTGAAAGTTTCAACTAAGCTGCATTATCACCAACCTACCAATCATCCATTTTTCTCAAAATGAACAAATTTGCTATAAACAGCACAAGCACAATGGGGTCATTCTAGAGAAGAGAATCATTACAAAGCAAAGCAGAATCCCACGAATATGATCTACTGCATGTATGAGCACACGAACAACTAAGACTGGACAGCATTGATTATCCAAAGTATTTCAATAAATGAGAAAACAATGGTGGATTACAAGAGGGAAAGCTGATAGACAACGAAGAATCAAGGCAATATAAATTCATCTGGAATCTGCTGGTTTTGAGATTAGCCATGAATATAATAAAATTGAATAATGGGTGTTAACAAATGAAGAGAACACATAATAAACAACAGCAGTTTTGTAAAGGACCGAAATACTACTACCATTTATGTACACTCCATTGCAAAGACAGAATGTAAATAAGAAGATTTTAATGCAACAACAAACTACACTATAACATTGATATGAAATCAATGGAATCCCCTTGAACCTCTGGGCTGATAAAGCTCCAATCTACTTTTAGCCTCTGGCAGCAATGTGTCCAATGTTTCATCTTGGACCATGTAAGATTGCTTGGATGCCCATTCTAGGACAGTGAGCACCTCAGCCCGTGCAAGCTCCTCGCTATCCGGCACATGATATGCCATGTAGCATAGGAGAGGCAGTGCTGAGAGTTGAACAATTTGTTCACCAAAGTAAACGAGCTGGATTAAGTGCTTTGCCCCTCCAGCACTTATAATGGCCTTGCAGTGGTCAACGTGAAGGTAGTTTTCTTTGCAGGCAAACTTTGTGAGAGCGATTGCAGCCTCCCTAGTAACCTCTGCTTCTCGCTCATCAAGAAGTTTAACCAATGGGGAAATCATCCTTGTCTCTGTTGCTCGAAATGTTCTTGCCAAATTCCCAATAGCTCTCATGCAAGGAATAAGGAGTTCAGTGTCAGCTTTTTCAATGATCTTCAACATTTGATCAATAACAGCTTTGCAAGCCGGTGAATTAGGCTTAAATGCTGACCTTCTCAGATCAGCGTCTTTCTCCGCAACTGCTGTGATTTCCATTAATGCCATGGCGCAATTGTATTGAACATCTTCAGGTCCCTTCTCTAACAAAACTGCAAAACACAGGAGCGCTCTCGATTCAGTTATGCTGCGGCAAATGGGAGAGTTTCCCTTGGCAAGATGCCAAAGTGCTCTAGCTGCCATTGCTTTCATATTGGCCTTCGTAGCAGGGTCTTCAAGCTCCCTCCCCTTAATACTAACCCCCGAAATTGAATGATTATGTTGATGATGGGACTGATAATTTTGCTTCAAATTGTTGCTACCATTACTCTTGGCAATGTTTGTTTGAGCAGCACCATTAGCATTGGCCCCTGGCTTCTGTAGAGACCGCTTGGTTGCAGCATTCATTGCCATAGTATTGGTGACCACATTAAGCAATTGATTCGGGCTCTTATTTCCCATAGGATGAGGAATTCGACTTTGATCCTCATCAACCACTTGCTTATTTACATCATCAGCAACATTCGAATTATTACTAGCAATAACAACAGCATGAATCGAAGTAGCCTTACTGACAATAGCATACTTACTGTGCTCTTGAACCGTCTCGAACGCAATATGACTAACGAGCAGCCGGATTATGTTATGCTGAGCAAAAAGATCTTGACATTGAGGATAATTGGCAGCAAGTTCCGACACAGCCCAAGCCACAACAACCTGAACTTTCATAGGACCTTCTTTGAGTATTTTCGTAAACACTAAACAGACACCAGCATGAATCATATGCTCCACGCTTTCCCGGTCGCGACCTAACAAACCAATTGCTCTTGCAGCATTCTCTTGGCCTTCCATTTTCCCTTCTTTCACTAACTTCAACAAAGGTGGAACTCCACCCTCTTCAATAATCAACTTCCCATACCGATCATTATCTCTAGCAAGCGAAACAAGCGAAGCAGCAGCATCAGATCTGTCATCAACAGACCCGGTATAAAGAATCGCAATCTGCTCCCATATCAAACACAAAATTGGCTCATTTGCAGCAATAGGAGGCAGCCCCAAGTACTCATTATCACGATCATCAGCTGGTGCTGACACACGCAATAGCCAAGACATATCTCCAATAGAATTCTCCAACTGAGAGGCCATTTTTCGAAAAGCAGCAGCAGGAATGATAGTAAAAACACGTTTCATCAGTCCGTTAGCTCGGCATTTGATCACAAGAGTCAAGGCCTTGTCAAGAACTTGTTCAGTATCGTCTATGATTCTGCGAGTGGGGCGCTCATATAGATCAGAACTAGCTCTAGCCGCTTGCCGAAGAAGGGCTGCTAATTTTTCAGTCTTGGATTTGAGTTCTCCACATTCTTGCTTAAAAGAACTCGCCTCATCAGCCACCTTAATCACTTGGTCAGCTAATTGGATTGGTTTTGCCAAGATTTGCTTCACTAAGTCCGCCATGGATTAATTCGCACGGCGGACTAGCAAAAGAAACACAAATCCAAATCTACCAAGAAAACTAAACCCACTCCCAACAGAAATATCAAAAAGAAAGAAATTCCCCCACAAAATCTCTGCTCAATTCAAGAAGGCAAAAGCAATCTTGAACTGGAAAAAAAAAAAGAGAAAAGAAAAGGGAAACAGCCCACAAAATCTTTTTGGCAACAAGAAACTAGATCAAGAAAAACAGAGAGGAGGAGGGTGAGGGAGAGATGTATCAGTGGCTTGATTGAAGGAGATGATAGAGGGGAAAAGATTGGTTTTTCCTTTTCGATGCGGGGGCTGAGTTTTTCTTTATGAGAAATTGTAAGCTATAGAATCAAGAAAGAAATCAAGAGAGTCTGCTTGGTTTCATGGTAGACGGGTTTTACAAGGTCAAACGCGTTTTTTTTCTTTTTTCTTTTCTTTTCCTTCCCTTCTTTCTTTTCTTTATACCATAGGGTTTTTGGTTGGCAAACTTGGGTCCGTCTTCTTCCCTCGATATTTCTGAGTTAATAACTTATAAGAACCCGGTTTTTTTTTTTTTTTTGTCAGTGAGAGAAAATGACAAATGAATTTCTGTATGCAGGACTTTGGTGGCAGTTGCTTTGTTGCTTTACAAAAAACCAGTCAGTCAGTCTGCTAGTCCACAAAACAGAATACCCTCTGAAGGCTAGTTAGGGTTTTGTCACCCTAATTCCATTATTTGGCTTTGTTGGTAAAAGAGAAGATTTTTTTTTTTTTTTGAGTTATGATTTAGATTGTAACTAATTGGATACCTATGCTATGTTGTGGGCAAACAACTAGTACGTACATAGGGTTATCGATTCGTATAATGTAATACAAGTAAAACAGTTTATTTTTTATGATTAATATAAATTGAATCCATATATAGTTAATTTCTAACAAAACTAATGATATAATACATATATAATCACCTAAATGATAGAAATATATTGAAGTAAATAAATTAAAATAAAAACTACCGGTAAATTGGTTTTGATAAATTCTGAATGAATACATATAAAAAATAAAATAAAATATGTGAATTTTTTGAACACATTATTATTTTTAAAAAAATTGAGTCAAACTATCTAAAACATATTTTTAACTCTCTCTCTCTCTCTCTCTCTCTCTCTCTCACACACACACACACATATATATATATAAAAGTAAAATACTCATTTAAAAATATAAAAATAATTTATTGTATAAGTTATAATAATACATTTTTAAAAATAAAGCATTAACGTTCTAAAATTTTATTCCAAAATTCATAAATTAAAAAACCAAATTTACTAAAAAATAAAATTATATAAAAAAATTAAAAAATTAATTTAATGAGAATTTTCATAAGAAACAAATAATTGAAGAAATAAATTTTAAACAACAAGAATACAATAATCGGATATGTATATATTAACATTAATGTCAAAAATATAATTAATATTGGTTTGGAGACATTAAAAGGACTAATAATATATATATTTTCTTTACCGATGAAGAGACCAATTATATATGACCGCTTAATTTGTACAATATTTGCTGGAGATCCGGTTATGCTATGGCAATATATATATTCTTTTAAAGGTTTCCTTTTGCCTCTCGGTGATTCAATACTAAAACACATCAAGATTTAAAATAATTAGCCAAACTTTTTTTTTGTTCTATCATGAGATTGGTGGCCGGACTTTTAAAAATATAAAATAAATTATAGGAAGAAAAAAAGATCGGGGTCGTGTCTAGTTGGTGTATATATATATATATATATCGCACTTAATAGACTCGCAGTATATAAACTAAATAAAAAATATATAAAAACTCACTTAAATTATATGGAATATGTCGAAATGAATAGATTTACATAAAAACTACTATAAAATTGATTTCAATAAATTTTGATTATATATATATAACCAAATAAAAATGTGAATTTTTTAACTAATTATTAATTTTTTGGAAAAAAAACCAAGTCAAATTATTTTTTAACCGATTATTATTTTTTTAAAAAAAATAAAGTCAAATTATTTAAAACACACTTTTAGCTTTTTCTCTCTCATTATAATTTATATAAGCAACAACATCATTTTCATATAAAAATCATAAAAATAATGAACCGTATAAATTATAATGATATATCTTAAAAAATAAAACAATCATGTTCCAAAATTTTATTTCAAAAGTCATATATATAAAAAAATATTAACGAATTAAAAAAGAAATGACAAACTAAATCTCAACAGATCCAACCGCGTTAAAAAGAAGGCAAAAAAAAAAAAAAAGGATGCTACTCAAAAAAAAAAAAAAAAGCTACAATAATGAGACTGTGAAGGATGCTACGACAATGAGACTGTGAAGGACCAGCTCAGCAGCAGTTCTTTTAGTTTTTTTTATATATATATATAATTCTCGCGCTATGCTATAGTCGACTGTAACCCCGTAAAAACCTTTATCCATAATGCGACGTGTATTAGAATAATTCTATATATATGTATATTAAGAGTAAGTATAATTCTCATTTCATCATGAGAAATTAATGCTTGAAATATGTGATTTATGTTAAATTAAAGTTATTGTGCTTAAGATTAATGGTTTAATTATTAAAGAAATCAAATATGCAAAACCAGTGTTTTAAGGACTATATTCTGCCCGCGTTTTGTGTGAATTATTTGAGAACTTTAGAGTAATTTTTGGGTCAACCTTACAGAATGAAAGTTGTTCATCTATGTGTTTAATATGCCTGTATAAAATTTTATAATATTTGGACCTATACATTAAGAGTTATACCAATTATAGTGAGGGTTGTTTCGAAATGCATTCTGCTGGAATGTTGAGAGAAGAATCTACCCGAATCTTGTGAGATTTATTTGATGCTGTTAGAATGATTTTTGAGAAAAACGTAAATAATAAAAGTTGTTTGTCTATGTGTTTACTATCTCTATATAAAATTTCATAAATTTTGGATACATATAGAAAGAGTTATGCACATTTTAGTATAGATGGGTTAGGAGGAAACACTGCTGGAATTTTGGGGGAAAAGAAACTCCGAATTTTAAAAATGGAATTTCTGAATTATTGATGAAAGAAATTTGTCTAATTACATTAACCCAGCTTACTAATGTTTTTTTTATTTATCCTAACTTTTCTTTAGCCACCTAAGCACTTGAATTAAATGCTTAGAAGCCAAATCATCACCTTTGACTTCCAAAACATGCCAGCTTTGCCTTCCAAGCTTCCTCCACTTTACATTTGGCCTAATTAAATTTTAACACTTATGATATAAATAAATGTGAGGATAAAATGTGAGTATATAAGGGAAAGAGAGGGTTAAATGGCTGCCATTTTTAGGTCAAAAATCGTAGCCATCCAAAATTCAAAAGAGAAGCCAAATTGAAGAGAGAAAAACAGCAAAAAGAGAGAAAGAAAGAAAAGAGAAAGAAAAGGGAAAAAGGAAAGAAAAAGAGCTAAAGAAATTCTAATCAAACTTAAAAAAGGTAAGTAGGTTTGATTTATTTTGGTTGATTAATGTCTTAAATTATTTTTTTTAAAGTTATTTTGTTAGTGTTTATTTCATGGGTTGTAATAAGTTTCAATGGTTATATGCTTGATGCTTAGAATAAATCTATGTATGGATGCCTTGTTGTGATGATTTATGATGTTTATGTTGCTTTGAAAATGTCCAAGTATGTGGTGATGGGTTGGATTGAACTTGGACCAAATTTAAGTGAACTAAAACATGTTCAAAGTTGGATTGGAATGAACTAATAAATTAGTGTTAATAAGGAGTCAATTCTGTCCGAATTTTGGGGTGTATATTCAAGGATTTTAGATCGATTTCTAGGGGAAACTTAAAGCATAAAAGTTGTTCATCTATGTTTAAACTAACTCCCTTTAAAATTTCTTGGTCATTGGATTCGTGTACAAGGAGTTATGCCCGATTTAGTATGGATAGCTCTAGATAAACCACTATTAGGCAGATTGCTCCCTAAGTTTCAAAAAATTTATAATTAATTGCGTAATTGGTATTTAGACCTAATTTTTGGATATGTTATAAATAAATATGCCTAGTATCTAAAATAAAATAAGTAAGATTTAATTATTTTTTTGAAATTAGAAAATTATTTACTCAATTAGGAGTTGCCCGGTAATAAACCCTAAAACAAAAAAAATAGACTTGGACAAAATTAATAGGTTTGGAATAAACTAAATGAGCTTGGACTAAATAAAATGGAATTAAATAGAGTCAATGGGCCTAGGATAAATTTAATGGGCTCGAATTAAAGTAAATGGACTTGGACCTTCTTTTAAATATTAATGAAACTAATGAACAATATTAATGAGCGGAGATTGTGTTCCCGCTGTGGGTATCGGGATTGGTATGTGAGAAATGAATAAATTTCGAGTGTGGGTTGGACCATGAGTATGGCATGAGAATGAAGGGTTGGTACCCGAATTTGGTTGAATGTGATTAAATATGTCATCACATGCATCATGTGCATAGTGGGTGGTTTAAGACAAGTCAATTGATTGAAAATGGTTTATACATCTAGGTTTGATAACCTAACTGGAATAAATGGGTATTAGTGGTCCAAGTACTCTAGGATGTGTGCCCGCACTATTAGACGATCGATTTTCGCTAATAGTAGTTACAATGAGGGATAATTCCGTTGTAGCAGAAGATGATCCGAGGATCATCCGGATGAAATCAAGCCGTGTGCTTACCTGTTAGACGATGGATTCTCGCTAACGGTAGTTACAACGAGAGATAATTTCGTTGTAGCAGAAGGTGATCTCGCGGACCACCCGGATGATAAATAGAGTAGATCGGCTAATACCTGTGGTACCCGAGATTAAAATTTATGAGTATGGTGGAAAGTCAAAACAACATTGCATATCACGTGCATCACCCCGCTTACCGAGCTTCGGCTCACCCCGTTGTTATTTTTTTATGTCTTGACGGAAAAAGGACGAGTTGGTACGGA